GATACAATAATCTTAGCAATGTACAGCGTAATACAGGCAATTCTCAACCTTTTTGGCACCTCAAAGGCACTCTTAACAATTGGGATATAAAGGCTTACATATGCAGTTGATGACTCATAATTTTAGGGTGGTCAAAATTTGTCTTCCCATGATAGCACATAACTACACATCTCATGGCCCACAAATGGGCCACAGCCCACCAAGTTAGAATCATTGGTGAATGTGTCTAATTTTCATACTACTTCCAAATGATAAGAAAGGGTTCAATTCTGAATTTCCTAAAAACAGTGATTACACAGGTCTGCTATTAAAATTTCATAAAAGTTGTTTTGGTTTTAATAATGGATTTTCAATAATTCAGCTACGCATAATTCAAAAATAATATTAATTTTTTTATATCACGTGAGCATTTTTTACAAATCGGGAAGAAAAAACTCTTACTTAGATCAAATTATTATTTTGTTTACCACAATGAACATTTTTTATTATTATGTTTGTTAACAAAAGTACAAAGAAACTAAAAAAAAGAGAAGAACACTATGTCAAATAAATATGCATCCTCATTCATCCTGATTTTTTATGTGCGAAATCTACATCTTTTAGTCTCAAAACTACAGATTGCAGTCTTTTATTTATTGCATCTGGAGCATCTCATTTCAACAACCAGCAGTAATCTACCTTCCCCGATACCTCCTCTCCATTTTCCTGATGTCTTGATGAAACCTTTCCTCTTGTTCTTCGCTGATGGCACCAAAATTTTCAAGGAAATAGTCAATATGTGAGTGTAGGAAATTAACTTTTGAGCTTATATTACAACCCAACTCTTTGAATTTATCAAGCATGTTATTGACAATATTTTCGTAATTTGAATCCTTGTTGTTTCCTAAAAATTTGTCAGTAACATCTTTAAAGGCAATCCATGCTTCTTTTCAATTTTCCTCATTGTCCTTTCGAACTGTTCATCCAAAGTAAATTTCTTATTCTGAGGCCCACCAAAAGTCCCTTCTTTAAGTTTCACTTCTGAAAAAGCTGGGAATTGCCCACATAGATACATGAAACAGTTGCCATCTTTGTCTAAGGCCTTTAGAAAATGCTTTATCAAGCCTAGTTTTATGTAAAGTGCAGGCAAGAAGACTTTCTTTGTGTCAACCAAACCTTCATGTTCAAAGTTTTTTGATCCTGATATCAGGCTGAATCTGCGTAGCCATTGCTTATTTATCTAGTGCTGATTTTGTGCTCTGCTGTCACATTCACAAAAAAACATGAACATTTTGTATAACCGGATTGTTGAACCAATAACATACAAAGGACTTTTAAGTCTCCACAATTTAGTCAACCATGTTCTTTGTATTTGACCTTATTAAGAAGTTCGAGATTTTCGTACGTTTCCTTCAAGTGAATCGAATGAGCAACTGGAACAGATGCATGTATTACTATTGTGAAGGAAAACACCTTTTGGAGGAATCAATGAACAGTCGCCAC